CCCAATTGAAGGATTCTATTACAATTCACCACCCCAGCTTAATTTTCCTTTCTGAATCTAAAAAACAAAAAGATTTTGTTAAATTAGTATGTATTAAGTCAGGGTTCAAAGAAAGATGGATAGTTGAAAATCCCATAGGCATTAGTGGTGGCCTTGTTTTGTTATGGGATAGTGCCATTCGTATAGTGTAGATTATTCAACACTCTTTTTGTTTTGAAGTGGAGATATGTAATCCTGATGGTTCTGGATCTTACTGGGCCATTTTTGTGTACATGAACACAGATAAAGCAATTAGAGAAGAGCAGTGGAATTATATTATTCAGGTCAAAGTCAAGTGGGGGCAAGATTGGATTATAGGGGGTGACTGGAATGCCATTGTGGATCCCAGTCAAAAGAAGGGAGGAATGAGTAAAAGCCATGAAGACATGATCAATTTCCAAAATTTCATCAGTGCTATGAGAATGGTAGAAGTGAGAATACAGGGTCATCAATTCACATGGTCTAATAACATATCCCATGAGAACTTCATTGAAGAAAAATTAGACCGAGTTTTTGGTTCTCTCAAATGGTCCTCATCCTTCAATAATGCAGTGGTGTTGAATTGTTATAAAACTTCTTCTGATCATAGTCTTTCGGTTTTTACTGATGACTCCAGCAACAATAATTTCAAAAGGTCCATATTTGTGTTCGACAAGAGATGGCTCCATAATCCAGATGTGAAAAAGGTGGTGCAAGAAGCCTGGGACCCTCAGTGTTTGGGAACTCCTATGTACAAATTTCTGAGCAAAATAAAAAATACCAGAGTAGCTCTGCTCAAATAGGGTAAGCATTTCAAATCCAATAATGCCAAAACTATTTAAAAGCTTACCCTGCAGCTAGAAGAAATGAGGCTCCTGAGTGAAAGGAAGAACTGAGATTGTTGGGAGAAGCTCAAGAGAGAATTACAAGAAGCTCAATGTGCAGAGGAAATCTTTTGGAAGTAGAAGTCTAGAAACATGTGGTTGAGAGAAGGTGATCAAAATACCAGGTTCTTCCATGCCCTCGCCATTCAAAGAAGAAAGCTTAATGCCATTACTAGGCTTACTGGAGCTTAGGGAAACATCTATGATTCCATTGCTTATATTGAAAATGAAGCCTGCTCTTTTTTTAAAGGGTTATTCACTTCAAAAGGCTTTACTGAGGATAATGAAGTCATTCAACTTATTCCTACAGTTATTTTTCACTCTATTAACCAGAACCTGATAGCTCATGTGGATATTCATGAGATTCAGTCTGCTCTTTTCAGCATGAGTCCAGAGAAAGCTCCTGGGGTTACAGGTATGACTCCACTGTTCTTTCAACACTTTTGGCCTACCATCAAGAATGATCTGTGTGCAGCTATTATGAGTTTTTTTGAATCCTGCAAGCTTTTGAGAAGTTGGAACCATACTATTATCACATTGATTCCTAAGTGTGCAAACCCTTCTTCTCTCAGTGAGTTTAGACACATTAGTCTGTGTGAAGTTGCTTACAAAATCATAACTAAATCATTGCTTCCAGATTGCAGCCTTATCTTCATATTTGTGTTAGTGCAAACCAAGCAGCATATATTCCTGGAAGACAATTATTAGATAATGTTATCATGGCTCAGGAGGTTATTCACTTTCTAATTAGACACAGGTCTGGAAAGCAAGGTTATTTAGCTCTGAAACTTGACATGATGAAGGCATATGACAGACTTGAATGGATGGGTTTAAAGAGAATTTTATTGCAGTTTGGGTTTCATAGAACCTTTGTTAACTAGATTATGATGTTTGTCTCCTCTACTTCATTTTTTCTCAACATTAATGGAAACATTTGTGGCTACTTTGAGGCTTCTAGGGGTATTAGACAAGGGGGCCCCTTGTCCCCTTATCTATTTATCCTTGTTTCAGAATTGTTTTCTCAACTCATCAAGAGAGAGATAGCAAATGGTGCATTTGAAAGGAATTAGAATTGCTAGACAAGGCCCACATTTATCCCATTTATTGTTTGCAGATGACTCTTTATTGTTTTGTGGAGCTGATATCACTTCTATTTCAGCTATTCTCAGAATTCTTAGCTGTTATCACGAGTACATAGGGCAAAAGGTGAACTTGTTGAAATCTTCCATATTCTTTAGTAGAAATGTTTCTTCTCCTATTCAAAATGAGATATGTCAGCTGCTGCAAGGTATCCAAGTCCAAAAATCTTCTAAATATCTTGGTCTGCCTCTGATTATTAGCAAATCTAAGAAACAGACTTTTGAATTTGTGATTGAAGCTGTGAGAAAAAGAGTTGCTAACTGGAAAAATAACATTCTTTCTTTAGCTGGCAAAGAAGTCTTGATTAAATCAGTTCTATGTCTTTTCTATGTCTTGCTATGCCTTGCCTAAATCAGTGTGTCAAGAAATTGCTGCTATCTGTGCAAGTTTATGGTGGAAAAGTGGTGGTGAGAAATCAACTGGGATACACTGGAAAAAATGGTCACTGGTCACATTGCCTAAGTTGATGGGTGGTCTTGGTTTTCATGATCTTCAGCTTTTTTATGATACTATAATTCTGAAGCAGATTTGGAGGATTCTCTCTTTTCTGAATCTGCTAGTTAGCAAATTTCTTAAGAGCAAATACTTTCCTCATGGTAATATTTGACAGGCTGTGGTCAAGCAAAATGCCTCATGGCTTTGGTTAACTTGGATGGCAGTGAGAAATAGGTATAAGCAGTATTTCCAAATTCAGATTGGTGATGGGCTATCAACTCACATTTGGAAGGATCCGTGGACAAGTTCCAATTCCCTTAGTCATCAGCAAAATGCAAATCTTCAGGAGGCTAATATCCAGTGGGTGTGGGAACTCATGGAGGATGGAGGCACATTGGAATGTCTCACTTATCAAGCAAATGTTCAATGAGGCTGACTGTGATGAGATCTTAAGTGTTAAAAGCCTTAATCCTCACAAAAAAGACAGGTGGATCCGGAATAATGATGCCAAGGGTGAATTTTTTGTGGCAAAGGCTTACTCTAAAATTGTGGCTGAAAAATTTAGAAAGATTGATGTGCCTGGAGGGATTCAATCAGCTATCTCTTTAAGAAGAATCAGAACCAGAACATGGAAGCTGAGAATCAAACACAAGATTAAGCATTTTCTATGGAGATGCTACTCTGAAGCTTTGCCTGTTAAAGAGCAACTTACAAAGAGAGGACTGTTGGTTGATGGGATCTGCCAATCCTGTGGAGAGAAAATTGAAACAATTGAGCATATATTTTTTCATTGCAAGAAGGCCAAGGAAGTGTGGAAGGCTGCACCAGTTCATTGGGATATTCTTGTTCAAAGCTCCACTAAATTCAGAGCTTGATGGTTTGATATTTGTTCTGTGAATAAGCTTGAGGTGTCTGAAGCAAGAATTGAGCTCACCACATACCTACTGTGGTGGCTTTGGAAGAGCAGGAATTTGTGGTTGTTCAAAAAAGAGTGGCTGCTAGCATTGTCCATTGTCAAATTGGCAGTGAATGACTGGCAGAAGTTCTGCAGGAAAGACACAGATGAGGCCAAGACTTTGAAGAAGTGAGTCTAGGTTCTTGTTGTTCAGTGGGCGCTTTTTGTTGATCTTGCCGTATTTATGTCTTTGCCTTAGATTTGATTTATGTTTATTCAGTTTAGTAGGTTTTGTGTAGCTTCTGATCATTGGTGCAACATTGATCTATGGGAGTTGAAATGTAATTCTAAGGGTTACAGAATAATTCTGGCCTTAGAATGTACACTAAACTCTTTGATTCTTCTTATTTTGATTAATTAGGTGTAAGTCTAGAGCATCTTTCAGTTGATGTATCGCTTTTATTAGGTACAGTTGGCCCTCAGTTTGTATTCCAGTACATTCAGTGGTATAAAATTTCTTATCGTTTCAAGGAAAAAAAAAATCTTTATTCTAAAAGAACTATTGTCTTTACTGTCATACATACGACTCACAATCCTTCACATGACTGTCATCTGCTTTCGCCAGAAAGACACTTTTCAAAGACATAACTAGGCGACAAAACATCCACAACTTTGCAATTATTCATAACGAGTCTTAATTGCTCTATGCGCTTATTTGCCTTATGAAATTGAGATTCCTTTACGTTTGCAACCCCTCCAACTGTCATCACAATCAAATTGTTATTTGACTTGGACAAACAAGAATTTTCGCACTTCTAGCCTAAGATTCACAGAGTCAAACCTCTTCCATCGCTTGCTCTTCAGCCTAGGCATACGGAGTTTCTTCAGTGGAATCTATTAACGTTTACCGCTTGACATTCCTCTAAACTATTGGCTACACCTCACAAGTAAACAGGCACAAGGCCAAAGCATCTACCAGACCAAAACCACTGGAGCTGTTGAACTTTGACCATCGCCATGGCAAATCTGAAAAGATCGAAATCCACACAGAGGGACCAAAAACCTACCGAAGCAACACCATCGGGCCCAAGACAAACCAGATGTCAATCGACATTGAGGGGTGCTAGGATCCACCAGAGAGGCGAGAGGAGAGGAAGCATGCCAAGGAAGAATTGGAGAAGGTTTTACTGATTAGGCAATTGGGGGAGAAGAAAGCGTCTCGCAGACACTAATCTAATTACAAAATATTAATCTCACTATACAAATAATAACAAAACGATCAAAAAGAGTGAAAAATGTCAACCCCTCCCTGTCTAAGTACAGAGAGACTTACAAATCAAAACACGACTTCATCATATGGGCTCCACAGAAAATATCCGAGGACTTCTCAAATTGTTTGGAGTGAAAAAACCACTCAGCTTCCACGTATCAGAAAAATCTCCACGGTCAAAAACTACATCAGCTTCCACGTCTTACAAAAATCTTGTCATTACAGCAAGCTTAAAGGTGTACTTATTGATAGGTTACACACAGGAAAACAGCCAAGAGACAAAACAAAACACATAGAGTTTCTTCGACACACAAGTCATAACAAATCAGATTCTCACATAAATTCAATGCATGTAACGTCATACATCTTGTTTAGACCTCAGAATAGCCATTGTTGCGCCGAGCCCACCGCCTCTCAGACCTTTGTATGACCAAGGTTTTCCTCCTGAAGAATTCTGCTTACCTAAAGCATTGTCCTGCGAGGATTGTAGTTTGCGCGCTTTCTTCCCCCAGCAACCACTTCTGGGTGATGATACTTGTACCTTTTTGGCATTCGTACCCCAACCATTTTCAGGAGGTGGCTGAACTTTTTTAGGAGTTTTGCCCCACCTGTTTTCGCTTGACAGTTGTTCTTTCTTGGCACTCAGAGCTTGACCGAGTTGTTCCCATATGTCAACCCCACCATTTTCTACCCAAAAAAAAAAAAAGTTAATGTAACCTCAAGTCAATATGAAAAGGAATGAACTTACGATTATTTAGTTGTGTGGTTGTCAACCGGTCTGAATTCTATTGCACCTAAAATTGGTATTTTATCATGGTAAGGGTTACTTACATTTATTTGCCTAGAATCAGGTGTTGGTAAGAAATAATAACAAAAACAAGTGTTGAGGTTCCACTTTGAAGTAATAAATAAAAAACAGAATTATATTCCAAACAATGAACAGCTCACTGAGGTTTGCATTTTCTTAGTAAATACCCCTTACAAAAGGCTTTATTTGTAGCTTTCAGTCAAACAGACAATATGATAACAGTAATTTTGAGAGAAAATGAGGTCTTTCAGTAGCTGTACTGGATCTGAAGGATATGTTTAGGGATTAAACTAATCAACTATCCTGTTTCACTAGATCCTACATTATGCATCAAATATTATGTATATACCTGGGCTGGGTTCGGCTGTCTTCTTATCATTGCTTCCCGGGGACACAGCTTGTGCAGTGTGTTCAATGCCTAAAGAACCTTCATTCGATTGACAAAGGGTTTCATTGGCTGGTACTGAATTCCCATTTTTCAAGATTCTAGCATCAAGAAGAGATGCAAAATCAATCTGCGAAAGATGGCAAATATGGTCATGTAAGCAGTAGTTAGTCCATTTTCACATCCAGATATAATCATATTGTATAGAGTCGTGCAAGCAGAGTAGAGTTAGTCCACTTTCCCATCCAGATATAATCATATTGTATAAGAAGATAAATGACAATTGCAGAATACACATCGAGGTTTTAGCCCAATTAACCAAAAAAAAAAAGGAGAGCACAGCGATTTTCCAAATTACAACAATACCCCCTTGACATGTGTTACTCTTTTGCAAATTACACCATTAATATAAGTACATTTATGATGGAATTACAAATTTTAAGGGGAATGTAGATAACAATATGGGCAAAAGAAGATAGAAAAATGATTCATTTACACTGCTTACCTCCAATGAACCATCTTCATTATAAATGGAATTATGTAATTGTACATCTTCATCATCAGCTTTCTGGGAAACAATTGGGTAGTCAGGCTCTGGCACCAACATTAGTTGATTGGACCCAATATTACACCAGGATACTTTTCCAACCTTAGTGAAAACAAGTATAACGAGACCTCTCATTATCCAATAAAAATGTTATATTTATTGAATACATATCACACGAAAAATTTAACATATACCCGAAAGCCCGAAATCTCAGGAGTCCAGGTTGATGATAATTCCACAACACGATATGCAATCAGATCTCCTTCCTAAAAATGTTGAAAACAGTACGCACATATGATAGAAGCTTTAAATGTATTACTTTGTTGTGAATTCAATCAATTCATGATATAGTGAAACTTTAGTGGCTCATCAAGCAAATTACATATGTTCATGATGGCAGAAAAGGAAAAATACCTTAGGCATGCAAGTGAGAGGTGGAAGCTTATCAAAGTCCACCCCTATATCTGGTTGTTTCTCCTTCTCATTATTTACTATCTCTGTGTCCTCTTTGTTCGAACTTTTGTAGTCATTTCGTGGATTGAATGAACGCTTTTCCTTCCCCCATTGTTGACCCTTCTTCTTGCTAGTAATTCCATTCCATTGGACAGTTACCTGAGAGAATAATGCCCAAAGATTCATAATTTGCAAAACAAGGGAAGAAAATTTCAATGAAAAATCAATGTATATGCATATAATGGACTAACTAATATTACTAAATTGGCACAATTTTAGGCAGGAAATTTTTTGTCTATATTTAACATATAATTAGTCTTTATTTCATGGCTTATATACATTGATCTAGTTAACATAATAAGGGTGTGACTGGATAAAAACTTAACCAAAAAAAAAAAATCAAAACTCAAATTTAATGGACTAGATCAAAATGGCAATTAAATTCTAGTGCTTCTTCTATTAGTGAAGTATCTAGAAAAAAATATATCAAACGACGCAATGCACCTTGGGCCGCTACGAAAACAACCTCCTTGTATAATTACAAGGGTAAGGTCTGCGTAAAACTGATCCCCAGACCCCAACCAGTTGGAAATATACTGGGTATGGGTATGTTGTTTGTTGTTGTTGTTGTAAAACTCAAATTTAATTCAACTTTAATCCAATCTCACTATCATCAATCCTAGTATTCGACCCTGTACAATTGCACAAATGTAAATAAAGTAATGTGAGTTATTTGTATGCATATAATGATTAATTGTTTTTCCTCTTTTTGCTGGCAAAATTTACAATTAAAGGAGTTGGAATATTTTTTTTTTTTTAAATTGTGTTTATCTGATTTGATGTAATGTATATTTTGGTACGTCTTTTTTTTGTTCTTTATTTATTATTTATATAGGAATTTCAAATACGCTTTTAATTCAAAAAAAAAAAAGATAATTTAAATGTAAACACAATAATAACATTTACTCACATTATACGGTCAACACATTATATCGTTAACTGTCAATAATCAAAAGTTTAAAGTTTAAAATGATTTTTGTAATTTTGAAGTGATTAGTGTTGATTATTTAATAATTAAATGAAATATTAAATACATCAAAAGTAACGGTTTTTGGAGGGAAAATGGTTAAATTGCCACATAGGTAAAATTAAATAGGTTTTATTAAATACTATTAGCTAGTAATTATATATATATATATAGATTATCAATACAATTAATAATATCAACCAATTACTCTTACACATCACATCAACTTAATTAAATATTAATCCACTCACATGATTTTAACTAACCATCACTTCCAATCATTTTTCTCCTTCTTTTAGTTTTACATCATAACCACTTTAATTATTTTATTTTAAATATTATTTTAATTTAAACATAAACTTCCACTAACAACTAATCATACCACCTTTTTCAAAATTAACTATGGTTAACAAAAAAACCAATCAAACCCATATCCAATCACACCCTAAATAACATTCATTTATATTGATGAAAAAATAAATATTAAAAAATGATTTATTAGTTACCATAATTTCTTCATTATAATAATGACATTGTTCATGTTTAATCAGTGGAAACAGAATGTGTACTAATATCAAAATTATTCATGTTCAATGCTAAAGTATGACAAAAATATTTCTTATACAACTCATCCTGGACACGCTGAACTACTTTCCTAGTGGAAGAATAGTGATCCTAAATATTTTCACATTTAAAACAGCTCAATTATCAGCCTAAAGTAGCCACAAAAACGATTTTCCTGTTGGTTGAATCCTATTGTATACCCATCTTAAGAATGCAGCCCTAAGAAAACCAAAAGAGGGATATCGGGTGCAAGTGCTCAGGAAATTATTTTCCTTAAAACTTTCCCAATTAAAGAATGGGGGCAAAGCTATGTTATCCGGACTCTTCTATTTAGGAAGAATACCCGTGTCATGTTGTGTCGACACTGGTGTGGGTATGAGTGTTGGGTGTGGCATTTTAGCATAAAATGTTCAAGATTTCTAAACTATTGACGAGTCGGACGCTCATATCTCCACACCCGATACGCCACCCATATCCGAGTCCAGGTAGCATAGGGGCAAAGGAATATAAATGCAAATGATGAGACTTACTGGAGGTACTTGGGCTTGCTCGACAGCTTGGTCTGCATCTGGCAAAACTAGCAAGAATGTGAGATTTATTTAATATCACATGGTGGAATCACACAAATCCAAGAGGCACAAAGGTCACTTCATGATCCAACTATAGATAGAGTAAACATGTTGTCATCAAAGGAAAACATTGTTTGGAAATCATTTGAAGATTAATTAGATATTTATAATTGCTTTAATTGAGATGGAAAATAAGATGTACATCTCTTTCAGCCGGACATGCATTGTGAAGCTCGGTTTTGAAAAACAATGAAATCGATTCACTGTCTGATTATACAATGAGAAGTTTAGCAACAAACAAGAGAAAAAAACTTGAAATAACGTCAATCTTGTTAAACAAGAAGAGATGGGTGCTGTTATTTGTTGACCCCAAACGGAAGATTTTTCTTTTGGTGAACCGAATCTCTTCCATTCATCTGATTGAATGCATCATTCAGATTGAATTAAAGGCATCACAATCTCAGACATATATAGTAAAGCGCACAGAGAATGACCTTTCTCCAACGGCTCAAATCGGATGTGTCCTGGCCTTATTACAATGGGAACAACTTCATTCTCCTCATCACTGTCTGGATTTGATAGCTTCTGAGCATCACAATTTTGTTTTGATTGTTCTTGTACACCACCATTGTTTTCACCCAGCTGTTCATGTGCAACTTCCAGCTTTCCATTTGGCTCAAGTTCAACAATTTGAGCTGATTGGTCAAGCATGCCACCATTTTGATTTTGTTGTTTAAGAAAGTTGTCATCTTGCTTTCGTCGGTAATGTTTTTTGCCCTTAAAACTCCAGTTTTCCTGGGGAGATTGCTTCCAGTGTAGCTGGACGTTGGAGAAATGTTATGGCCATATTATAACTAAAGGTGAAAAGATAGCTCTAAGCAAATAACTACTCACAAGTCCTTTTGGTTGATCATCCACCTCATTTCTTTCAGCATCAGAACGGTATTTTTTCCACTTTTGCTGTAATATTGTTTTTCTTCATTAATAACAATAGACACAAGGAATAATTACAAAAATAGATTCTGAGGTTT